CTCTGTCCTGCCTCGGTATCCAAGCCAAGGACTTTATTCGACATTTGATGGAAGAAGATCCTGAGAAGAGGTTCACCTGTGAGCAAGCCCTGCAACACCCATGGTGAGGAAGGCCCCAGCCCCTCTCTCCAGGCTCTGCCCCCAAATCTCTACAGCCTCCCTTACCGGCTTCCCACCCCTTCTCCTCTTAGGATTGCAGGGGACACCGCGTTGGACAAAAACATCCACCAGTCTGTCAGTGAGCAGATCAAGAAGAACTTTGCCAAGAGCAAATGGAAGGTGAGACTGCGGCTGTGGCCCCTTGCCCAAATCCTTGACCTTGGCCTCTCTCTTCACCCCCAGCTGTGGCCGTTCCCTCTGCCCCACTTTCCTTCATTGTCACATCAGCCTCATCCTCTGCCTGTCCTCGAGCCACAGCCTCTCTTCTCCCTAACGTACCTGCCAAGGCCTAGCCTTATGCTGCAACCCAAGCCTCAGCTTCCTTCCCAAGTCCCTGAGTCAGCCCTCCCCATTCCCATTCCCTCCAGCCTCCTGACCCACACTGGGGAAACAACATGGCACAGTGGAAACAGGGCCAGCTCTAGAGCCGGGGGCTCTGGGGTCTGACTGTTGTGACCACCTCTCTGGGCCTCCCCAGACTAGACTGCCACCTTTAGGTCTATAGTCTTACCTAACACTCCCCATATTCTTCCTTCATTCCTCCCTGGGTACTCAGGCCAAGCTGGTGGACCTTTGGGGTCAGTCCCCTAACTTCCTCCATGGCTTATCCCCTTTCAGCAAGCCTTCAATGCCACAGCAGTGGTGCGGCACATGAGGCGGCTTCAGCTAGGCACCAGTCAGGATGGACCCAGACCTGGCCAAACCACCAGCCATGGGGAGCTGCTGGCCCCTGGCACAGGCGGGGGTGAGGCAACAGGGTGGGGAAGGGAGGCCGACTGTCCCAGAGGCGCCTTGCATTACTGACGCTCTCTCTGAGGTCCATGCTCTTCCCTTGCCAGGTCCCCATGTTGGCTGCTGCAGGGACTGCTGTGCAGAGTCTTCCCTGGAGCTGTCAGCCACTCGCCCACCCCAGCTCTGAGCAGCCTTCACCACAGCTGCTGGGGGCTGGGCAACTGGAGGGGCAGGGCTCATCTTCAAGGCAGTAGTGGTGGTGGCTGAGCTCCTGGGCAAGGGGCTAGGGTGGAACCTGCCAAAGAGAAGCCGGCCTGCCCCAAAGGCTGCTGCAGGGCAGTAGGGCTTGGAGTTGCTCATTGTTTCGGAAGGGGTAAGATAGCCTCTGCTCTCCCCTCCCACCCTGCCTCCAGGGAAGCCTCCTCCTCTTCTCCCTCCCATGGCTCTTCCTGAGCCCACTTCAGGCCAGGCCTCTCCTGGAGGGAGCAACTGGCCTCTTCTGTAGCCCCTCTGCCCTGGCTTTGGGTCCTTTTCCTGACCCCCTTCCTAGTGCTCACCCTGGTCACCCTGACCTTTGGGAAGGCAGGGAGCTGGGCAGGGAAGGTGTAGCAGGAGCCAGGGCCCTGAGAAGAGATGTGAAAGGGGCTGGAGGGGGAAATCACTTGGCCTTCTTCCTCTCAGTGCTTCTCATTTCTCCCCATGCTCTGGTCAAGGTATCCAACCATTTTCCAAACAAATATTTCTATTTTATTGTTCATTCTTTTATATTAAAGGGAAGAGGTTAAAAGCATTGGATTATTTCATCCCTTTAGCTTGGCAGGCACCTCCAAATTCTTACCTTTCCTCAATCGTGCACAACTGACCATCTGTTATGGGGACATAAAGTACCCTTGAGGTAGATGCTGGAAGTCAGGGAATCCTGGAGCCATGGAACCCCTAAACCCAAGGCTTGGTAGGGTTGGGGAAAGGGGAGGAAGGGGATCGATCCTTGCTGAGGGACTAGGGTCTTTGATGCTATTGAAGAGTGGGGCAGTTTCCTGTCACCCTGGGTCTCCAGTGTCCTCTTGTCCTGACACTGGGCCCCGGCTCTCCTCAGAGGCCCCCCTTTTGCGCTTCTGAGACTTTGCCTTTGCCTGGAGAATCTGTGGTTTGGGGATCTGTCGCAGGTCTGCGCAGAACAGCACCTGGGGAAAGGAACTGGGGTAGAGGGTCTTCCCTCGGAAGGGAGAGAGAGCCAAATGGGCTCAGAGCTGGTGGGGGTGGAGGAACAATGCAATGAGGTTGTGTACGTGTGTGTGTGGTTTAATGGAGTAAAGGCTGGGGGACCTCAGAGGAATAAAACACTAACCGCTTGAGTCCAACCAGCATACGGACCCCACAGGCTCCGGAAGAAGTCTCCTGAAGAAGAAGGAATGCTGCTGAATCTGTCCGTTTTCTGTTGGTGACTCCCCTCCCTGGCCCCCTCTGCCTCCCTCTCCACCTAGCCCCGGGACTCTGCTCACCCAGCTCTTTACTAGCTTTCTGGCTCAGGCTCTTCTGACCCTTGGAAGTGGGCTGCCAGCTGTAATCCCGGCGGGCGATGTGCCAGACGTGGACATCCACAGGCACGGCTTGGGGCTTGTCCAGGGCCATTAGACACACACAGTCGGCCACCTTTAACACAGCAGTTCAGGATCCAGTCTGCTCCTCATTACACCTCACCCCAAATCTTTCACCTACAAGTTCCATTTTCCTGAGCTGTTCCCTATTCCAGCAATCCCTATCATGACTCCGTGTGTGTGTGTTACCAGGGAGGTGACAAGTATTCATCTTTCCAGGCTTACCTTTACCCCAACCCCAGGCAGTGAGCAGAGGTTCTGTTGGGCTTCCTCATAGGATGCTGAACGTAGCTGCTGCAGCCAGTTGGATCCCCCTCGTTCATTCAGGATGGCACGGGCACTCTCGCTCACAAAGCGGGCACGGTACCCAAAACCCAGCTGCCGAAGTTGAGGTTCCACCTCAGCTTCTGCAGGGAAAGGTGGGCAACATGATGATCTGAACACTCCCCATCCTGGGCTTGTCAATGGGTGCCCAAGTAGGAAACATGCATCACATCACCCTTCCCCTCTACCCCAACTGTGACTAGGAATTTACAGCCTCACAGGGAACACAGGTATGGAAAGACATAAAGCCTACAGAAAGACATGTTAAAAGTGTAAAGTGATGGGATAACAGTGGAGGTGGGTGGGTCTGGGAAGGCTTGGGGAAGATCAAAGCATCACAGATTTAGAGATCATTTAGCTCAGCTCCTTCCTCTTATAAGTGAGGGAACAAGTAATAGAAAAGTAGAAAGACTGAAGTCAGGCAGACAGTAAAGTAAGGGGCAGAGCCAAGATTTAACCCAAGTTTTGGACTAGGATCAGGGGTGGGGAACCTGGGGCCTGGAGGCCACATGTGGTCCTTTAGGTCCTCCAGTGCGGCCCTTTGACTGAACCCAAACTTCACAGAACAAATCCCCTCATTAAAAGGCTTTGTTCCATAAAATTTAGTCAAAAGGCTGCACTCAAGGACCTAGAAGGCCACAGGTTCCCCACCCCTAGGTGCTCTTCCCACCGCACCAGGCTTTGAAGAGAAGAGTTAGGATCGGAGGTGTAAGAAGGGCTGCCTGGACGTGTGCCTGATGGGTGCCAGGTCGGGCGCAAATCCCTCACACAAGGCTCTGAGGTGGGCAGCGAGCAGCTCAGCTTAGGGGTCTGCAGCAGCAGAATTGGTGAGGGAGGGGCTCATGCCGGGAAGCCTGGATCCAAGTATGGGGAGTCAAGGGGATGGCTCACTAGCCAATGCCTGCAAGCTGGGGAAGTCGTGATAGGGGACGCCGTCCAGCCGGCCCAGCTGCGGCCCCAGGTGCTGGCACAGCCGTTGCACCATGCCGGTGATCCTCGAGATGTGATTGTTGGAGGAGCAGATGAAGGAGAAGAGACACTCCACGGGGTCTTGTCTGAGCAGCCGGACCCCTGCGGGGGTATGGAGGGCGGGGCGTCACCCGGGCCGAGCCGTCCTCGGGCGTCGCTCTCCGGGCGCCCCGGCCCCCGCTTACCCGGGAATCTCGGGGCCACTTCTCGGAAGTGGGGGTCCGCGGAGGCCCAGTGCCGGTACAGGTCGGCCAGGCGGACGTGGAGCTGGAAGAAACGGCGCAGGGTCTGCGGGGCCTCGGGCCCGGCCGAGTCTCCGTACACGGTGTAGTGCAGCCGGTCGTCCGCCTGGGTCAGGGTCCACAGCCGGCCGTCCAGGACCCCCGTCCAGTGCCCCGGGCTCTGCTCTCTCCACCTGAGCCCGGGGAGAGGGACAGAGCCCGCCCGGTGAGGAAGGTCCCGTTCCCGACACCTCCCCTCTCCCAGGACTCCGGGGCTGCGAAGTGGGCTCACCTGAAGGACTGGCCTGAAGACAGGACCAGGCCCAGGTCCAGCTCGGAGCGTGGACAGGGGATGGAGGCCCACAGGCCGGGGGCCGAGGCGAGGGTGCGATGCCTCATGCCCCCCGGAGCCAGGCGGGGAGCCGCGCCGTGTAGCGCCTGAAACCCGAAGCTCCGCTCTTTAAAGACCGCCTCTTCCCCACGCTCCGCCCACCAAGCCCCGCCTCTCCCTGACGTTCCACCCACTCTGGATTTCACGAGCCAAACCCCGCCCATTCCGGATTTCACCCACCCAAAGCCCCGCCCATTGCTCTGCGGGGAGCATTTACTTTCCCAGCTCAGGATTGGCTGACGTCCTCTCCTATCATAGCGGCGCACCATCCCCGCCCCCAGGGCCACTTCACTCCTCAGTCTTGCTTTTCACCCTGGAGTTGCGATTAGCTGCGCAAAGCCGGAAGTCGCTGCAAAAAACGCGCGAGGCGTTCCACTCACGCGATACTTCTGTAATCCGAGACTCTCCACTAGCGGAAATAGCGTCCTATCAGCCTCTCCACAGCAGGCACGGCGAGAGGGCTTCAGTGAAGGGCTAGGGGCGAGGCCACCGTCTCGCGGGCGGTGGATTCTAGTCGGAGCTCCTCCCCCCTCTTCCCGCCCGCTGCCAGGCCCGCCAACAGCATCTCGGCACCGCATTAAACCCCCCCCTTGGCAGGAAGCGGGATTACAAATAGACCGTTTATTTTCTAAGAATCAATATATTTTCTTCCTCCGAAATAAATACAAACCAATTTGAAGGGCAGGGACCCGTGGGGGAGGCGGGCACGGGGTTTGGGGACAAGCCCCAGGCTTTTTAGTGCCAAAGGATTCTGGTGCGACCCGGAAACGCAGTTACAAATGAGAATAATTTAAATTCTCCGCTAATTTACAGTATGTACAGTAGCAGAACGGGTCATCAGGCACACACACACACACCCCAAGCCCCCCTTTCAGGGTGGGACAGACAGACGTGGGCGAGCTTCCTGCTGCAGAGCCAGGCCGGCCCGCACCGGGGCTGCAGTGGCCTCAAGACCTCCAGGGGCCAAAGGAGCCCCAGACACCACAGAGTGAGGTGGGGGTGGGTGACACCGGGAGTGCCGGGCCTCCTGTCAGGGTCCAGCCAAGGGCCGCTCCCTCCCACTCGGTGAATGCTCTGGGGGCTCCTTTTTGGCTTGAGGATATTCCCTTGGCCGGAGGCTGCTTGGGACCCCTAGAGTGTCCTGTACAGTCCAGCTGCACTTGAGCGGGACCACCCTCGCCCAGCTTCCCCTGAGACTGGCCCCAAGACCAGGAATGAGTCAGTGCAGAGGCTGATGGGTGCCACTCTAGAACCAGGGAGGGAAGGCAGCTACGCCAGGCAGCTTCAGTCGCTATCACTCGTCTCACTGCTCTGCTCGCCCTGCACCTTGCTTCGGTGCTGCAGGGCCCGGTGATAGGCAATCTGCACTGACTTCCGGATGTTAGACTTGCGGCCCTCCAGCATCTTTTCCTTGTCTAGGTCCTGGTTCACTCCCAGAGGAACTAGCTTGGTCCTGGGGAGCCACTGCCTGTGGAAAGTGACAAAGTGAGAGGCCAAAACACTGAGCACCAGGAACCTTTTCCACATGTCTACCCACTAAAAAATCTCTTGTTTTCAAGATGACTCTGCCCCAATCCTGTACAGAAAGGACTAAAATGCAAATGTGGATGTGATAAAGTGGGGATCTGGGACCCCAGGGTTCTCTCCCTAGGTCTTCCCCCATCTTGTCTCCAGTGGTGGTAGGGAGCATCAAGGTGATACAGTGCAAAAAGTCCTAGAAGTTAAAGAGATCTGGGTCTAAATTCCACTTCCATCACTGAACTGTGTGTGACCTCTAGACAAGCCAACATCGTGGCTTCCCAGTCTGTAAAATGACGGGGTTGAATGAGATGACTTCTGAGGTCCCTTCCTGGTGTAAAAATCTGTGAAGTCCACAACCATGCCTTAGAAAGCGTAAGCTTTGTCAGACATGACAACTGGCATCTTGGGAGAAAAAGCATAATCCAGTGGGGAGAGCCCTGACTCTGGAACCACAGGGCCTGGGTCCAACTCCCAGCTCTGCCATTTATTACTTGTATGTGCCTCAGTTTGCTCATCTGTAAAATGAATTCAGGAAGGCTAGATGGACTAAAGTTCCCTTCCATCTTTCTAATCCTATCTGGCATGTACCAGGATGTCAGTCAGCAAATACATATTATATTATTATCTCCTGTGTTTCATTACAGTGACCAAGTCTTCTCCATGGTACAAATGGAAGGACTCCTGATTTCTGGCTGGAGCCGCTCTGCTCAAATCAACCTCAGCCTTCTACTCACTGTTCTCTACCAGACAGTTTGACAGGCTGTCTGCTACTGGACCCTACTTTTGTGCAACAAGGAGAACTATCCTTATAGATTTGTTAATTCCCCTCCCTAACCCATCACTTCCTCCCCTTTCCTCTTACCAGGTTCTCTTGTTGTCAAAGAAGAGGACGAGGTAGAGATGCTCACGAGCTTCCTGGGTCATCTGCTCCCCAAGTTTCAACACCTCCAGCGGGGGCACGGGAATGGGTACCCCGTGGTGGAACATGCCCTCCCGAGGCATCTTTGGGTCGATGATCTGACGGATTGGGGGCACAGCTTGGTTCAGTCCTCTCCCTCCCCCCAGAACCTCCTGCCTAACACTCTGGCCAATCTAACCATTGTTTTGTGGCCAAAGAGAAACTGATCACTGTTGATAACTGAGGGGCTACAAGGCCCCAGAGACCTTATGACCCCTGGGCCATAACTGCATTGGGTAGCCACAATGCCTGGGAGACTGAATGAGACTGTTCAGAGCACCTATGTGATACACAAGGGTGGAAATGTATACCACATCAAAGCTGGGGAGACAGGTCCCTGAGCTGCACCTGTCCATCTGTCTGCCTGCAAAGAAACCCTCACGCTCCCTGGGCTCTCTGTGGCTCCAGTGGGGCTTCGGAAACTCTTTGTATTCTGGATCACTTTCCTGGCCTTGTAGCTGGGGCTGGTGTGGGGTGAGGGCAGAAGGCATGGGGCAAGGTAGGAGAAGCAGGATCCTACCAGAGCTGGGTACGAGGGGTACCCTCGGCACTTTGCCCACACCAGGTCCAGGGCATCCAGCGGGGAATCCTCATCCTCAGATAGCCAGCCAGGTCCCCGGCCCAGACTCTTCCTCACCACTACACAGAAAATGGAAGAGAAGGTTGAATAAAGGGTTGTAGAGAGGAGACAGCTTCAAAACCGGGTTCCCCTGACTCCCTACATGGGTACTTACTGCTATGCCCCACACCACGCCCCGTGCCCACAGAGTAGGACTCATTCTCAGTGCCAGATGTATCCTCACTGCTGTCCTCTGGGAAGGTCCCCCGGGAGAAGGAAGGCTTGCCTCGGCCTTGTTTCGAGGGGGTTGTGCTGTAAGGAATAGTCAGAAGCTCAAGTTAGCCTTCAAGGAAGCAGAAACCATATAGGGTGATAGTGAAGGAAAGGAGGGACTGACAACTTCAGGGAAGGACGAGATCCAGTCCTTTGCCTTTACTGCTGAGGGTGGCAGGGAGTCGGCCCAGCCCCTTCACCAGTCACACTGAGAATGCTGCTTATCCCAAAGCTAAGGTCCCTCGAGGACTTCTCCCTAGGCCACCTTGGAATGTGGGTTCAGACAGAGGAGCCAAGTACCTGGTTCGGTCGGAAGCGGCACTGCTGCTGCTGCTGCTGCTGGAATCCGAGTCAGAGCTGCTCCGAGGGAGACTGCAGTCATTCCGATATACAAGAAAGCTCTTCTTCACAGGCTGGCTCCCACCGCTGAAGCCATTTGCTGGTAAATCTGGGTTAGAGATAAGGAGAAGGCTGGTCTGTCTGGGCAGGAGGAACGTCAGGATTTATTCCTATCTCTATTTCGGACTGGAAAACTCTTCCAGTCCTCAACAAAAAGCTTCTGAGAATGATTCCAGGGGTCTTGCATGACCTGCACCTGTAATGCCTATAGCTGCTGCTGCTCATGATGAGCAGAAGGAGAACTGGGGATTAGTCCTGGAACTACCAAGTGTTAAGCTATGTGATTCCAGGCAATTTATTTAATTTCTCTGGGGCCTGGTATAGTGAACAGGAAGACCTGGGTTCAAATCCCATCTTAGACACCTATAAGAGGCTATAAGCTGTGTGACCTTGAGCAGATCACTTAACCTATGACTCAGTTTCCTCAAATGTAAAGAAGTGTGGTGGACTCAGTGGCCTCTTAGATCCCTTCCAGCTCTAAATTTATGATCCTGTGCTCCTCACTGTACAAAGAGATGACTCAAATGAGGCAGCTACTGTGAGGTGCACAGGAAGAGCTGTGGCTTTATTTACTTCCACAAGGGATAATGGAAAAAGGTTGGCTCACCCATGGGAGGGTCTTCGGTGGACTTATCACTGTCACTATCAGAGCTCGAGCTAGGCCGAGGACTCCTCCCTCGCTTCCGCTGTCTCTGAGAGCCCATGATTGGGAGCTGGGGAGGCCCCACGGGGCTGCTTCCATGACCTGGGGCCAGCTGGCTCTCCCGATTCTTTGGCGGCCGTCCTGGCCGCTTGGGGGGGCCAGCTGTTTTCGGGTTCTTCTTTGAGAATAAGACGGAGGTCCTTCTGCCCACCTCATGGGCAGGGGTTGAGGACAAGTTGGGGCCCAGACCTAGAGCAGAGACAGAAGGGATAGGATGTTGGTAAGGGTTACAGAGGGCCAGATTTATATTCTAACAGTGTCTCAGACTGGGATTCTAAGCAAGGGCAAAGGGAGTAACTTTGGAATATAGGGGAGTCAAAGGACTTAGGCTTGCTTACTGCCCAGTAAGTGGTGACTTGGGGACCCCTTTTCCTCTGGCAGCTACAGCTAGTTGGGTAGTTGAGAAACCCTGGAATCAGGGATGGAAATGTGTGGCCACAGCCGCCAGGAGGAACCAAGCCTCCACGTCCTCCCTGTAGGGGTCCCTTGCTCAGCCCCCACAGATGCACAGACCTTTGCCTGTCTCTTGGCTGCTGCTTTCCTCAGCGGCACTGTCCGTCTGTCCATCCTTGTCACAAGGGGTGTGGGCCTGGAGGGCACCCCGCCCTGTGGAGCTGTGCCGATCTGGCCCCTCTCGACCAGCCTCCCTCTGGTGTGCCAATTTCCTGCGTAATGCTGTCATTTCCTTCTTGATCATCTTGGCGCGGCGGGAGCGATTGACACTTTGTTTGCTGGCGTTAACCTCATCCAGCTGCTCCAACAAGAGCTTCAGCTGCTCCTCTGGTGGCAAGTGTTTCTGGTTCTCGGACAGCAGAAACCGCTCTTCCTCTGGTGGGGCGTGGGAGAGGGAGGTTGGACAGGGACGTGAAGATCAGGGCCAGGAAGAGCCCTTGAAAGCCCCGTGACCCCAAGGACGTGATGAAACCAAGTCCTCCCCGAATCCCACCTAGGTGTCCCTGTCACCAAGCCAGGGAAGGCCACTCCCTGGTGACATGAACCATGCCAACCTAAGATCTTGGGATCAGAAAGGTAAGGGTTTGGGGGAGTCATGCCTATCAAGGGAACTGGCATGTGTTTAGGAGGCACAGCACATAACCCACCATCCTCTGCGTGGAGCAGGGCCTCATCCCCAGCCAGGCTGTGGGGGAAATGCATGCCCGTCTCAAAGTCAATGCCCATCTTGTCAGCCTGCCGCCGGGCCTGCCGGAGCACAGTACCCCCTTGCTCCCGAAGCCGCACTGCTGCCCGGTAAAAGATGGTGTCCTTGGCATTGTACTTGAGGCAGTTGCTGACTATGAGGTGGAAATCCTCCTCAAAGTCATCAAAGTTCAGGTATCGATAGGCCTCCAGGTTCTGCTTCATTGTAGAGAAGTCCATGGGCTTCTTGATGTGCTCGAGGTAGTCGGGTACCTGCCAGGAAGGGACAAAGCAGGCCCTGGCTACATGGAGAGATCGCCCACTGACCTCCCCACCCCTACCCACCCAGGGCCCTGCTCCAAACCATAGGGTTGAGTCCCCTGCAAAGATACCATAAAGGGAAATCTAGAAATTCAGGGTGTTAAGAACATGTGTGAGGCATAGTAGAGCAGGCACTGGACTGGGGATTAGGGGATCTGGATTCTACTTCCAGCTGGGCAACTAACTCAGTAGGTGACCCTGAGCCAATGAACCTGTCTGGGCCTTAGGGTTCTCCGACCTATAAAATGGATCAACTTTACAAACATGTTGTAAGGATTCAGAAAGTTAAGAGACAGGGAGAAGGCTCAGAAGATTTCCTTTATGCTTAGTATTATGGGACTGCTATTCTATTATAGAAAACATGTCAACAGTCAGGAGATGATGGTGTCACTGGGGCCTAGCACTTCAGAGCTCTCTAACAGTCAGCACTTCCAAAGTGCTACTTCCTGAGTTTAGAACCAACCCCTTCCCCCACCAAAAAAAAATATCCTTTTTTTGTTGTTCAGTACCATCCTCTAAGTGTGTCACTTCTGCAGAATGACTATTACAGCCTTCGGGGCCAAAAAAACAACAACAAAAAACCAACCCACAACTAACATCAACGAGCTCTAGCTGTGAGAAGGATCTCCCCATTTGACAAAGACCTGGTTCCCAAGGAGGGCAGACTGCCTGGAAGGATGGATGTTTGCTTTGCTAACAATGTGTGGTGCACGTGAGGGCTGCTACTCTGGCGGCAGGGCAGACTCCACAACCAGGGGCCCACCCACTCCAAGTGAATGCCCTTGAACTGACATCAGGGATCCAATTTAGCATGTAAGAACTGGGATGGGGATAGGGGAGGGCTGGGGGACAGGGGGAAGGGGTTCTTACTTCGTAGATTTCTGTTACCTCAGACAGAGGGACCGGCTCGCTGAATATGTTGCCCGTGTCCTTCTCTTGGAGCTGCTCTAAGGTCTTGCGGAGGAGGATGAGGAAAGGGGTCAGTTGCATCTCTAAGGCCACCTGTTGGACCTTGATCTGAAACATGAGACAAGGGGTGCTCAGATAGATCCACATTAGTCCCAGTTAATGCCCTTCCAGGAAAAGGGTTTCAGAGACAGGCAAAGTTTGAGATGTGGTCTTCAGATTTTCCTTCTCTTCCAATTGGCTCCTTGGAGCTAGCTACAAAGAGAGGAAGAAGTATACTAATCCTCATCCTGGTCCTAATTCTTAACTCAACTGGGGAATTTAAGCTTTTTAAGAGTAGGGGCTATTTCATTTGTATCCCTATGTGCCTGGCATATGGCAAGTTCTTGTGAACTAATAAGTATATTTACAGGGAAATCAGTTTTCCTCCAGGAAATCAAAGTTCACAATTAAGCACTTAATTCTATCGTGCCATATACTGTCCCTAGCTTACTATATATAAGTCTTGGCCTCAATGAAAATACACATCAAAAAGAAGGCCCAGCATGGTCGAAATTCAGAGCCCTGGCTTCTCTGTCACTGGCTCTCTCCATGCAGACTGACCCCTCCGGGCCTCGTCAGGTTCCATGCCTGGGGCCACAGAAGCATGTGTCCTCTATGATGGCAGGTAGGCTTCCTGCCCAGGGACAGAATAGGAATTACCGTCTCTCTCTTGAGCTTCTCACGTTTCCGAATCAGTTCTACCAACAGCCGGGCACGCTCCAGGTCATGGCGCAGCCGTTGCCATGACTTCAGTTGTTCTTTCAGGGCCCAATTCTTGTCCTCAGAGTCTCTCTGAGAAAGAAACAAGGAAAACAAAGCTGGAAATGGAAGAGGGCCGGGGGAAAAGGTGGGAGCAGCCATCTTGGACCCAGGATCTGTTCTCACCCCTTGGACCTTGGCCACTATCCAAGTGGTTGCCACCCTCCATATCCCAGATAAGAGGTGGGCACAAGAACACCAGTGGTCCGAATCCCAACTCCTTTCCCCACCTTCCACCATGCCATGCTCCACTCCTAACAAAAAGGACAGCTTACCCCAGTTCCCAGTCCTCCTGGGGGAGCGGGCCGTGGTGGCCCCACTGGATCACAATTCCTCTGGGACTGCAGGTGGGTCTGCAGGCGGCGAAGCAGAGGGACCCCATTCCTGGACTGGCGCTTTAGTGTCCAGTAGCTGTGTAGCCTTTGCATAAACTGGCTCTTCCTCTGAATGGTTAAGCGATTAGTAATCTTGCTGAGCCTGAGAAGATGGGAAGGACAGAGGGAGGAGGGGGGAGCACCTGCAGTAATTTGTACAGGCCAGCTGGCACCTACTCTCTCCAGAGCCTTGGCCCTCAGCTAGTCTCTTCTTAACTCAGCTAGTGGGCCTCAGGCGAGCATTCTTACAGGCTCCTGGGCCAGGAAGAGCCTCTGAGGAGGCCATGTGGTTTCAGTGATAAGACCCTTCCACATCCCATCCCTTCAACATCCAGAGGGTACAGAGGTGGGATTGTGTCCTCCACAGGATACACAGACTGTACTCCTGCCCCATCTCATTGAAGCAGAACAGCAAAGGATCTTTCGAAACCTCTCATCCAGCCGTAAACACCACGGAGACTCTGCTTAACTTGTGAAGCAGTTTCAGCATCCCCAGACAGATGAAACCTTGAGCAGGCAAGGCTCCAAGCCCCCAACATCCAGCAGGGAAGGAACCTCTGGGCCCTCAGGTGGCCCTTAGCCCATGACAATGGTGCTGTGTGTGGTCTCTATGCCCACAGCAATTTCCCCCAGTGGACTATACCATTCAGGGTAACCTTGAAGGGTATAAGGATAAAGAGCTGTAAGCAACAGTTAATGGACTAATTAGCATTTCAAAGGGTATAAAGAAGTTGTTACAGGTCCAGTAAACAATTTGGGGTGAACAGTTTACACTCCAGAAACTCACTAACAGGTCTTTTTATTGCTTTCCCTATTTCATCCCCCTACAGCCTTTTTCCCATTTGTTAAAGTTTCTTTTACTTCTTTTCTTCCTACTCACCTCCCTATTTTAACTGGCCAAAATATGAAAACGATGGCTACTTTAAACTTATTTATGGAGTAAAGCTTTATTCTCCTAAATCAAGTCACTTTTAAATTAGGGTATGGACCCATGATTTTTTTCTTGTGGGACAGAAAAAGTTCACCGTCTCTGCTCTCCACTGTGGCTCTGCCAACTCCTGATGTAAAAGAATGGACACTGCATCCTAGTCCTGGCTCTGTTGGTAATTAACTAGGTAACCCCAGGGCAACAGAAGGATTTACTAGATGACACATAAGGTCCCTTCCAAATCTTAATGACCTATGAACTTCTTTGCCAAAGGGGAAATCAGAGGGTCCCCATTCTTAATCATCTGGGGCCCTGCCTACCTGTGTGGTGGGATGCAGGGGACTGATACCACTGGTGCTGCCGCCCGTTTTTCTGCCAAGATCTTCCGAGCCTTCTTCATCTTTATCCTTGACTTGGCCTTTGCTTTCTTTACCTTCTCTGAACTCCAACCTTTTCCCTCTTCTTCCTCTTCCTCCTCTTCTTCTTCTCCCTCACTATGTGACAGGGCAGGCAGACGGCGCACAGAGCCCGGAGGTGTGTGGATATCACAGTAGGCGGTTTTACGCACACTGAAGGAGGTGCCATTGGCACCTGTTTCCCGGACCGGCTCCATCTTCATATAGAGGCCGGCTTGCTGGGCGCAGGTCACATGGAAGGCTGTATAGCAGTTGGCCTTGTGGCACTGAATGCAGGCCCCTGAACCCCTCTGCTTGCAGATGTAGCATGTGAGTTTCCATCGGGCAGGTGGGATGTGCTCAATGCTGTCAATGGGCTCCAGAAACACCGTGTTGGCAAAGCAGACCTCAGGGATCCACAGGGCACACACTACGTGAGCCCACCGGCCATCGTCCGTCTGCTTGAAGGCCCCGCCCTTATTCGGGCAAAGGGCACAGTCCACTGCCCTGGATGGGGATTGTAGGCAGCGGCGGCAAAGCCACTGGCCTTCAGGGATGTAGGGGACGCCATAACATTCTTGGTGAACAGCCAGGTTGCACATATCGCAGAAGAGAATCACATTGCTGTTCTGACACTCACCGTCATTACAGATGCAGCACACGGCGTCCTCGTCCACCAGGGCGTTGGGGTCCCCCTTGTGGTGGCTCTCGAAATAGGACTCCTTCTCTAAGCGGTCCATCAGGTACTCAAAGATTTCCTGGGGGATGGGGCTCACTCCCTCTGTCTTCCGTCGCTCGTTCATGATGTCCAGCCAGATATAGTCCTCCTCATCCATGTCATACTCTACCTCCTCATCCAGCTCCTCTGCTGATTTCTCAATGTACCTGTAGGGAACATAGTGGCTCCCTCAGAGCCTCTGCCAAGCACACAAAGGGAGGGACAAGCAGCTAGATGAGGATATTTAGGACTATTTAGGACTAGGGATTTGGAGACTCAGGAAAAATCACTCTGTGTGGGTTCTACTTTCTCTTAAGGTTTTTATCTAGGTGGGATCTTGTTAAAATGAACATCAAAGAATATAAACATTAGGGACACCTAGTCATGTTGCAAGAAAAAACATTCGACAAACCTCAAACACTTACTACGTGTAATCCACTGTGTGAGGCATTGGAGGAGTTACAAATATAAATACACAATCCCTGCTCAAGGTTACATCTGAGCAGAAGAAAGCCAACCCAAGGGGAAGAGATTTCACAAAGGAACTACACAAGGAGTGGGGAGTTAGAAGGCAGGATGAAAGGAAAGAAGACGTGCTGCTGCCTGGTCCCTGTCACTGTGGGTAGGAGGCTCACACTGACTCGATAGGACCCTGGGCTGTTGTTTGGTATTATATAGCAGGTGACTTGGCAACCTGTCTCTGCCTTGAATAATCATGTAACTCCAGGGAAATAAAAAAAGAAAGTCCTCGGAGACTGCCCTGATTCAGCAGGCCCTACCAAGGGCTCTGGGGAAGCTGCAGGTCTCAAAGGGTCTCCCAGACTTCTCACATGAACCCCAGAATCAACCTTTCCGTACTCTGTGATCATATGAACCTAGCACAGCCCAATGGGAAGCAACCACACAGGGAAGTAGCCTGATACAGCAGACAAAACTGCAAGTCACAGTGAGAATTTCACCTCTGATGCTCACTAGCTGTGTGACCTTGGGCAAGTTGCTTAACTCCCTGGATCTCAGTTTCCCTAACTTGTAAAATGAGGTGGTTTGCCTAGATGACTTGGGAGGCCTCTTCCAGCTTGAAAGCGATGATTCTGTGAACCAATGTTGTTGTAGGAGGGCAAGGAAATATTTAGAGTGGGAAAGAAGCAAAGGTCTGACCCACGGGGTCTCATTTCCTCCTCTACTTTCTTTTCCCTCAGTGCTTGCAGTCTCCCTTCCTGAAAGCTCTGGGAATGATTGTAGAGTTAAGGTCTGAGCAAACGCTCCCCTCTCTGGCCTTGGGCCCCAGCTTTCTACAGTGCAGCTCAAGTATCCCAGAGGCAAGGAAGCCCAACAAGATCAGGTCCTGTGGCTTTTGGGCTGTGCCCCAGTCACAGTGGGGAGATATTGCAATTAACCAGGCAGAAGGAGGTCCACAAGGGGCAAAGGAGGTGAGCGGGAAAGGGAGAGATGGCAGGAATACAAAGGGAAGAAGCCAGGATGAGCAAAAAGAACAAAAACTTGGCTTAAAAACCCAACAGGGAGTAAGGTTTAGAACACCATGAGCTGGGGCAGAATTACCTAGATGCAGGACGCAGGACAGGCCAGGGGGCCAGGCTAATCTACTCCCCCTTATCTGCCCATGTTCCTTAAACCACCCATCCATCCATCCATCCATCTGACATTCCAGCTCTCCCACACCCTAACTGTGTGGCCCCAAACAAGCAAATCATCTCTCTGTGTCTTGTTTAGAGAAAGGGGACCCTGAACTACAGTTCTCCCCTGATGCTTCATCCAAGCACAAAGGTGATTCTGGGCTCTTGAAAACCACACCAGGAAGGCACAAGCCTTGGCAGGTCCCACCAAACCCAAAGCCTTATGGACTGACTGGGTGACAGACCGTCCAGACAACCCAGCTCAGTTTGGCAAGGCTCCTGACCAGGTTGGCTGCCCTGTGGCAAGTGCTGTAGTCCCTCCATTCACAAATTCAAAGAGGGTCAAGTGGGGCATCAGTAGAGGGAATCCCCCTCCCCCCTCCATGAGATCAGAGAGAAGCCTCAGTCCTGAGTACAAACAGGGATGATGCTATTTGTATCACCTACCTGACAGGGTGGTTGTGAGGAGAGCACCTTTTAAGTTATGGGGCGCTAGAGAAATGTGAGGTACTCAGATGACTTGCAGCATCCCCACAAGGTACTGGGGGAAGGATGAGGACGAGGACAAAGCAGACATGGGCCCTGCCTGGGCTCTCAGCCCTTCTAGCCCCTGCTCCCATGTAGCTGGTCTTCAGGTTGGGGGCAGTGGCATGCTGGAAGAAGGAGGAAGGGCAGGACTGGCCTTACCGGTAGTAGGAGGTTGGGCGAGGTGGGGCATCGGGGGTGTCCTGCTCCAGCTCCCGGTACACCACCTCTGGCAGCTTGGGGGTGGCATTGGCTGAGGCATTGTGGTGGTGGTGGTGGTGGTGGTTGGAGTCCTTGCGCTTGTCTTTGTTCTTGTGCTTGCCAGCCTTGGGAGTAGTGGCCGGGGTCTCAGTGTTCTCCTTGTTGCTGCCATTCTCGGGGTTCTCCTCCGGGGCCTCCTCGTCCTCAGACACAACGTCCAGGTTGTCAAAGATGCTGATTCGGTGGACTCGGCCATGCAGGTCCACCTCGACCATGCGCTGGGCCTGGGCATAGGTCATCACCTCGCGGCTGGGGGACTGCGACACTTCAGAAGGGTTGGGTGACTGCTTGTTGGCAGAGCGGGACTGGCGCCCCTTTTTCTTGTGCTTTCGAAGGGGAGTCTGCTGAGGTGGAGGTGGGCTATCGTGGTCATAGTGGTACAGGTGGTACTCAATGCCGCTGTAACTTTTATAGATCTTGCGGCAGGTCTCTATGGGACACTCGTAGGGGGGCTTTGTGGCCCGTAGGTTGTGGCAGAAAGTCTTCACATCAAAATCCACCCCCATTCTGTCACATCTGGAATGCAGACAGACAGCTGTGAGAAGCTGAGTGGGAGGCCTGACAATCACAGCCACGCTACAGGAGGAAAGAAGCCAAGCAAGAAGGCTCCAAGAAGCTCCCGATACAAGCAGATGGAAGGAAGGAAGGAGACAAGGGCACTGCCTCGTTCAGCCATCCTTAGAGCACCAGGGCCTTCTTGGCCAGCACCTGCTGTGTGCACCCTACTAGGTGCCCCGCTTCTCCCTACCAAGGACAGGGAGCCTCCCACCCAGACCCTCAGAAACCACTGCCCTCTCCTCCCAGCTGGAGGAAACCCACTCCCTCTGCTTTAGGCTTCCACCACAGAGCTGGGCTCTCTTGATTGGGGTAATCTCTAGAAAACTCACTGAACTCAGTATACCTAGCTGGTTCAAACCATGCTGTTCATCCTGCTGAGTCATCACCAGAATACCAGGGGTAGTCACTGGGGGGAGTCTTACCATCTGCCTTCCCTCTTCCCCCTTCTACCTTGTCTTATGAATAACAGTTAAATTAATTCCCTCACTGATACTGAAAGGGCTGTGAGAATCTACTGCCCTATGGCTCCTTTCATAGTCTCTCATGACTACACTCAGACCCTTCCTGGGCCACCACCATGTTTCCTCATTAGAATGGAAGTCCCTGGAGGGCTGGGACCGTCTCACTTTTGTATCTGTATCCCTAGCACCTAGCACAATGCTTTAGTATAAATGTTTGGCTGACTGAGTCCTGACCCCTGGACTTCCCACATCGGTAGTATCTTTAACTCCTTCTTTCAGGGCACCAGGTATCAAGGCTCAAGAAAGACTACTGGATGAGAGCTCAATGCTAAAAATCTAATTATGCTATACATCATGTAGGTGATCCCTACCTATGTTAATCTATGTATCCTCCCCCTAAGCCCACCCTGAGCATTTCCTCACAAGGCAGGCCACTCTTTACTTGAGCCCCACTAGATGTCACAGTAACACCTGACATAATTCCCTGGGTCCTCTTGGCTCTTAAGGGGAATTAGGAGAAACAGGCTCCAACCAGCTTTGCAGCTTGGGTTCTCCTCAACTATGAACCCTTGGGCTTGCCAATCCCTATCAATAATAGTATGCCATCAGATACTGGATTAAGTAATTGACATATTCCCTGAGACACAAATCAATATCAGCTTGTCTGTTTTTCAGATGGGGAAACTGAGGTCCCGGAAAAGACTGGCTCAGAGCTGCTGAATAGGTAGCAGGGATAGAATGACCACTCACAAGTTGAATTCCCAGTGGGTACTTAGGCCCTGCTAAACCTCAGCGTGGTACTTAGCATAGTTCCTGGCATATAGTAGGCATTTAATAAATGTTTATTGAATTGGTACCCACTGACCTCATTCCCTGCTCTGACATGGATCTCTGATCAGCCACTGGTCTCCAGTCACTAAGGAACTTTTGAGTAGAGACTTCAGTGATGGCGAATGGACTGAGAACAGAGAACTTTACAGCCAAGAGATCCTGGGTTTTGACTTAAGGGGAACTAAGTAGTTTGTGTTTTTCATTTGAGCTCTTTAAACTCTCTATCTCTATGGAGGTTGTTGCCACTTAAAACAACTGAGTCCTCCAGCCCTCAGAGACACCTCTGTGCTGGGTCCTCAGGGACAAGAAGCAGTAAGAAGCACTAACTGTTGGCAACCTGGGCCAGAAGAAGATGGTCCAGACTCCTCCCCACTGTCGGCTGTACCAAGATCCTTTCCCTAGGCTGTGCTGATGGAGGATCAGAGAAGTCATACAAGTCAGACTCTTTGGGCAAAAGTTACTTCAAACTCTTACGTTTGTGAAGAATTTCAGAAACAAGGCTATTGCTCTCAGTCAATCCTGAGCCAGAAGATCTTTGGAGGCTCTGTGAGGGAACAGCTTCTAAGGCAGAGCTTCTAACCGTTTTTATGTCATGGGCTCCATTTGGCAGTCTGGTGAAGCCTATGGACCCCTTCTCAGGATGATGTTTTTGAGTGTATAAAACAAAATTACATAGGATAACAAAGGAAACCAAGCATGCCAAAATACAGTTATCAATATATTAAAACATCAAAAAGAAGTTCACAATCCCCTGCTAAGGCAACAACATTCTGACCTTTACTGAGCAAGGCCAAATACTGAACTCTATGAAGTTAGATTAACTTCCCAAGTCTTTCTCTTTTGAAGAAAAAAGAAAAGAAAAACCAAGCACCAACAACCCAATACTTCCCAAACCCAACCCTTACCCTTTCTACAACAGGCTGTACTCCTCCCCGTAGCTTTCCCGCCTCTGCTCCTGTGGCTGTCACACTGGGCCCCCAGTTATGGCTTGATTGGGGGGCAGTGGTGGTGATGGTGGATCGAGTGTGTTAGTGGGGAAAAAAAAAAACAAAATGCAAATCAACAGATTTTAAAGCCTGAAGAATGAATGGGGGCCTGGGAGTGTGACAGCTGCCCCTCGAGAAGCCCTTCCAGGGATAAGAAACAAGCGGAGAGGCACAAGTTGAGGCTTAATCCCCCTAAAGCCCCGGGCTCCGGGCGGCTGAGCCGGGCGCTCCCCGCTCCCCTGCCCCCATCCAGGAAACCGCCCGCAGTTTTCCCTTTATCCAAGTGTAACAAGTTAAACAACAACAATTCCCAGCTGCCAAGGGCTCACGCCCCCGAAGGATACTTTGTAGCAAGGGGGCATCCCGGTTGGCCGAGACGGGACTGCGCTCCTGGGCGCTCTCCAGGCGCCGTAGCCCAGGGCGGGGAAGGTCTGCTAGGGGATTCTGGACAACCGAACCGGGCAGATGGGGGGTCCCGGACAACTGGACCCGGCGGAAGGGACGGGGGTCCCAGACAACCCGACCGGGCGGGGGTAGGGTTCCGGACAACGGGGCCAGGAGGGAGGGGGGAGCTATCTTAAAGGGCCAGGCGGTTGGCGTAGAAACCGCCCGCGAGCAGTGCCCCGGACCCCGCCGCCCCCCCTTCCGGAGTCCCCCCTCGGACGGGCGCGTACTCACCGGCCGCCGCCAGTGCGGGCTCATAGCCGGCGTCCGGGCGGGGCCCTCGGGCCGGGGGAGGCGGCGGGACGGGGCAGGCCTCCGGGGGCGCGCAGCAGCCTCCGCCGAGCCCGGCCGGCTGCCCGGCCGCCCTGGCCCCGCTCGTTCTGAGGCCGCTCGCTGCCTCCCGGGCGGGCCGGGCTGGGGTCGGGCCGCGCCGCCGCCGGCGGAACAATAGAGGCTCCTGGGAGGGGGAGGGAGCGAGCGGAGAAGGGGGAGGGGGGAGAAGAGGAGGGACAGCAATGGAGGAGGGATCGGAGGAGGAGGCTGGGGGGGAGCGGCGGTGGCGGAGGCGGCGGGAGCGACTCGGGGCGGCCGCGGCGGTGGCGGCGATGGTAGTAGTGGCGGGGGCAGCGGCGGCAGCAGCAGTGCAGGGTAAACGCGAGGCCGCGGCCGCGCCGAGTCGCACTTTCGACACGACTCCTCCGACGCCTCCTGTCCTCCCCACGTGGGGCCAGGCCAGAGCCCAATGGAGCCGCCGCCGCCACCCGCTCCCAGCGTCGACGCGGGGGTAGGACGGGGGCGGAGATGGGGTCGCTCCGCGGGGATGGGGGAGAGGGTGGGGTGGACACCTCGGGCCGTTTGTAGCGAATCTGCCGATGCGAATGGGGAGCGCGAGTCCGCAGAACCTCCCTCCCTCCGTCCCAGCCCGCCTGCCTGCCCGCCCTCACCGCTGGGCCGAGGTAGGGCCGAACGCTGGCGCCCTCCCCCCGGGCCAGGCGGGGCCGGGAGCCCGGAGGGAGCGCAGAGGAGAGGGGCGGGGCTTGGGCTAGGGGGCGGGACCGAACCTGGACCCACTTGGAGGCCGCTCGCTGCCACCACCCCTACCACCCCCCGCCCGCGTGGAGTAGGGACAGCGTGCTGACCTCGGAGCTCGAGGCTGAGGCACTGACCTGGGTTTGAATCCCTTTTTGGCCGCCTCTGTCCGTCCTAAGTCTTTTTCTCCTTGGGAGTGCCCGTTCATGCCAGGTGCTTGACTGGAGTCATTCTGAACTATGCAGATGAGGGCCATGGGTCCTCGGATCTAGAGCTGCACGTGGCCTTCAAAGCCATTGAGTTTTTACAGAAACAGGCAAGGACACAAGAAGGTAATGTGACTTGTCCAGGGTCATAACAGTGTAGACTCAGATATAGAACTGGAAGGGTCATTAGAGTCCAACACCTTCCTTTTACGGAGGAAGAAACTGAGGCCTAGAGGAGCGACTTGTCACTCTGCTAGGAGAACTTGAATCCAGGTCTTGGGACTACAAGTCCCTACTCACTGTGTCCCACGGGGGGGGAAAGTGCCTAACTGTTGGAGTGCAGGGAAAATCTGGAACGAGCTGGGGACGTGAAGGCATGTGAGTGATAAAAGGCTATAATGCCACAGTAGCTTAACTCAGGTGTAACAAGGGAGAGTAGAGGCACAAGACGGAGTGCTTTGTATGTAATCATTTCACAGGGTTGTTTCATGGTCAGGCTCACATCTTAAAGTGCTTTGCAAACCTGAAAGAGAAACACAAATTCACTCCAGTTTATCCCATCTATATCTTGTTTTTGTATGTAGTTGTTTAAATGTTATTTCTCCTCTGTTAGACTGAGTTCCATCAGGGCAGACACTTTGACTTTCTATGTCTCCCCAACACAACACAGTTCCTGGCAATAGTAGGTGATTAATAAAGGCTTGTTGACTGGCTGAGAGAGGGAGAAGAAGGGAACAAAGACTGAGGTAGGGCAGGAGACCTGGAGCTAGGACTTTGAATGGAATGGGAATTAGTGTAGAAAACCAGTTAAAAACCAGGGGTTGGAAAGGTTTGAGGGAGAGAGAGAGAGAGAGAGAGCGCGCCTTAGGAACAGGGCAAGAGGAACTAGATTGTCTGGGCTAGATCCGCCAAACAGATTGCATTTGATCAAGGAAGGGCAGATAGGATGGGAGAAGTTGGATTTGGGGTGCTAGAATTGGGTGGTTCCTGAAAGATGGGACCTCAGTGCTGCCGGGTACACAACACAGGTCATGAGACAGGACAATGGCCCATGTATACTGTCTGGTTGAGTGGAATGTTGGAAAAGGCTCCCACAATGGCAGCCTCTGTTGTGACTGGAGGGAAGGAGATATGTGAGTCATGGAGACAGATTACAGTAGCTGAAGTAGGTGATACAGTCTCAAGGACAACACTTACTTCACTGCTTCAGAGAGAGATTCAAGACTTAAGGCAGTGGGAAGATTGCAGTCCCCACCTCTCAGGACTTAATAGAAAGTCTTTTTTTTTTTTTATTGCTACAGCTGAAGAAGTCTATTACCAGGAAGCCAGACTCATAGGAATGGAGGTCTCTGAATTTGACTGTTTGAATTTACAACATTAGGGACAAAAAACATTTTTTTTTTACTGGAGTCAGAAAGCTGAAGCAATGGGGTTTCTTCAGCTTCCTGCTGGACAGCTCCATCTGGATGTGTGGTAGGCATCTACTACTCAGTCCACACTGGACTAAGCTTACTCAGGGAGTAGAGCACTGGACTTGATGTCAGGAAAATCTGAATTCAAGTATGGCCTGAGACATTTACTAGCTGTGTGACCTTGGGCAAGTCACTCTGCCTCAGTTTCCTTATCTGTAAAATGGGGATAATAAGAGCGTCAACCACCTACCTCCCAGGGTGGTTTTGAAGATAAAATGAGATGTTTATAAAGTGCTTTGAAACCTTAAAGTGCTACAGAAATGCAAGCTATTATTGTTACTGTTAATAGGTACTTATTAAGCTACTTATAGTGTGCCAAATGCTGTACTAACGGGGCAGCTAGGTGGCGCAACGGATAGAACACGGGCCCTGAAGCCAGGAGGACCTGAGTTCAAATCCGACCTCGAACCAAACACTTGACACTTGCTAGCTGTGTGACCCTGGGCAAGTCACTTAACCTCAATTGCCTAAAAACAAAACAAAACAAAAACAAATCTGTACTAAGCCCCTTGGGGTACAAAAAAGGGCAAAAACAGTTCCTTCCTTCAAGGAGCTTACAGTCTAAGTGGGGAGACAATCCATAAATAACCATGTATGCAGACTAGATAGGGAAGGTAATCTGAAGGAGCAAGGAGCCAGTTGCTGGGGACCTGGGAAGCCTCCTGTAGAAGGTGGAATTTGAGCTGTCTCAGATGAAGCCATGGAAAGTCCGAGGCAGAGGGGAGGAGGGAGGGCGTTCCAGGCAGTCCCAAGGCCCAGAGGCGGGAAGCCCAGGGACCTGGAGCATCAGTGGAGGGGAGTCAGATGGAAGAAGACTGCAAAGGTAGGAGGGGACCAGCTTATGAAGGGCTTTAAAGGCCCGACCGAGGACTTGATATTTGATCCTGGGGGGGAGGGAGGGTAAAAGGAAGTTGCTGAATTTTGCTGAATAGAGGACTGACTTGGGCAGACCTACTAGGTGGCTTAGTGGATAAAGCTTTAGATTGAGATTCTGAAAGAAAGAGTTCAGATTCTGCCGTAGCCACTTACTAGCTTGTATGATTCTGGTCAAGTCACTTACCCTTAGTCTGCCTCAGTTTCCTCATCTGTAAAATGGGGATAAAAACAGCACCTACTCTACGGGGTTGTTGTGACTATTAAATGAGATAGATGTGTGAGGTGCTTGAAGGGCCATGTGAAAGCTAGTTATTATTATTATTGTTATCATCATTATGCTTCTGGAAGATCCCTCAGTATGTTCAAAATGGAGTTTAATCTTCCCTCTTGACCCTTTCCGTCTTCCATGCTTCCTTATTTGTTGGGAGCCTCTACATTTCATTCTCTCCTCCCTCCATGTCCAGTCAGTTGCCCCCACCCCCTTTTACCCTTTTTTTGATGTCATTTTCTCATCGCTTTTGTTCAGGCCTTTCTTACTTCCTGCCTGAGCTACTCGAATCACCTCCATGTTGGTCTTCCTATTTCCAACTCTTCCTTCCTCCAATCTACTCTCCATACTTCTACCAGTCATTTTCCTAAAGCATAGGTCTGACCTGTCCCTTTCCTGCTAAAGAATCTTCTTTGGCTCCCTATGACTAAGAGGAAAAACTCTAAACTCTTTTGTTCAGCATTTAGGCCTTCACAATATGGCTCCATCCTGACCTTGCAGACTGTTCACAATACATCTCTTTATGCATTCTGCATCCAGAATTCCTTTGTCCCTGTGACTTGGTGGAAGCTTTCCCTCATGTTCTGGAATGCACTCTCTTCTTAGGATCATGGTTTTTTTTTTTCCTCCTTATATTATGTGTTATGTTTATGTATCTGTATGTATGTATGCCCCCAGAAGAATGGGAGCTTCTTGGTGGTATTGTATCCCCATCACCTTATAGTACAGCATTAATGAATAGGGAGGGAGGCTAGGGAAGGAGTCCGAGTGTGTGTGTGTGTGGGGGGGCATCCCTTAGGATTTGTGATTGGAGTTATTACCTTCTACCCCTGCTGTACTTGGGAACCTGGGATGGAGAAGTGCTGTCCCCCAGACCCTCTGGAATTTATGCAGGTGCTGCTTTAGGGATGGAGGAAGGCTCCTTTGCAAGGCTCTACTTGGAGGTTCTTGATGTCAAAGGGTTGATTGAACTTTGCAGAAAATGAACCATCTGGAGTGTGAGAGCCCGGGGGTCTGCATGGGTGCAATCAGCCCATAGGCTGCATATGTGTTCTTCCCACCTAGGCTGCCCAGAAAGTTCATTTGAACTTCATTTTACCTGGATGAAATGTGTGTGTATGTGTGTAATGGGAGAGGAGGCAGGGATGGGTTCAGAGTTCCAAGTGACCGGTGCTCTTGGGATGGCCCTCTTTACTCGACTTGCTCCATCCTGATTGCTGGTTCTGTTTGGGTTGTTGTTAGAGCCAGTCCCAGCCCTCCCCTTCCACTCCCATTTCTAACCTTCCTTCTCCCTGGCCTGCCCCCACCCCCAACCACACATACATAGGGGCCAGACCAATTCATTTCTTAGGACCTACTAGATGTAGATTCCTCTCTTTGGATAGCTAAGCCTTTTAAGGAGAAGATGGAGAAGATAGAGGGGCAGAAGTGATTTCTTTGCCTGGGTTTCCCAGAG